TTCGCCAGTGCCCATGTCGCAAAAGTTCAGCGGCAGCCGCCCAAAAAAAATAATAAAAGAAACGAAACAAAAACTAGAACGGGAATAGCAACGGAAACGCCAAACGGGGAATGAGAGAAAGGGAATGCGTGTGTTATGGGTGTTGTAACTGCCTGACTGGGCTTGCCACATGCCACACACTCTGCATGGCGAAAGCCTTGAACCGTGGCAGGGCGTGTCAAGGGCAGAAGGGCAGAAGGGCTGAGCGAAGGGGCCTCCAGCGAGTGCTAAATCTTTGGACTAATAGTCAACGCATTTGGGGCAAATGTTTATGGCTGTTTGTACTTAGCCAAGTAACCCAAATTGATAACCAAAGTGGACACTATTGGAAGGGGAATACAGTTGGGCAGTCAGAAGATCCTAAGTAAATTATAGTTGTAGCTTTTTGTTTGATGGTGGGGAAGAGATAGTTGCAGGCAAAGTTGTGCCACAAAATCAATTAATCATCGCTGAACTTTACTCTGCATAATCGAAGCTAGCAATGGAAAAACCATAAATGGTTGGCAGGCAGAAGTTCCCAAGTGAGTTTACATTTTGTGCTACATTTTCGCAAGAGCATGCAATAGTCGGTTCGACTCTTTCTAACTATTTTCCTCAACTCTTTTGCACGTTCGTAATGCTCTATTCTTGTCGAAATTTTTGAATGGCATTGCTGTAATTCGGATGCGGCATGCCTCATTGACAAACTTGACCCACATGCCGCGTCTCCACCTCCATCTTCTCCACTCCTCTCTGTGTGTGTTGCTTCTGTGCCATTAGCTGCCACTCCACCAATTTGTCGATCGTTTGCCTGCATCGACACACACTTTATTTTGTTCTCACCCACTCGCTCTCCCCTTCTGGCACACACACTCCCTCTTCTGTTTCCTCTCCTATTTGTCGGACATCTCCCCTCGCTGAAAACTTCATTAAAAGCTACGACACTGCAGAGCGGCGTAAACCAATTACAAGTTCGTGGCAGAAGGGCGGGGACTGCAGAGGGGCGGCTTCACCAAATGTGATTAGAGTGCAGTGCCGTAGCGGAAATAGCAGCTGCTCCTCCTCTCTCCCCAGGTCTTTCTCTTGCTGAAATGAAGTTATAGCAGAGGGTGCAAGAGGGGTCTGTACCTCTCTCTCACTGCAGACCAATAAACAATTTTACGAGGAAAATGTTATAAGCAACAAACGAGCATTGGAAGCTTGTTAAATGATTTAGAGACCAGTCGAAGAGTCCAGTGTCCAGAGTCCAGTGTCCAGTCAGGAGTAAAGCGTCCGAGCAGGAGTCCTGCTGCCTGTCCAAGCTGCAGTGTTGGCCTGGCCAATATGCTGCGACATGCACTTAAATCAATTTCCGTCTGTCATTTGGCTGGAAATCTCTCTCTCAACGGCTGCCACACGCACACACTGGGAAAACTAAGAGTTGACCAAGGAAACTATTAAATCGTGCGCAACGACATCCTTCCCAGGCGTATCTGCTCACTGTTCTTGTGTCTCTGCAGGCAGTAAATTAAATTTCACCCATAATAGACTCCTGCCATGATATGGGGCCAAGGGCACTGACTGATTCCAGGGGTACATTTCCCCCCCAGTTGCAGCTGGTAAAACTTTTGCATATTTTTAGTGACACGATGCAGGATTTCTCCCCGCCAGTTCCCTTTAGTTGTTCTAAGGGGCTAAAACATTGTTGTGCCAGCACCAGGACTATTCTGTACTGTGCTGGCAGCTGCTCTTCCACATTCGCTTTTTGCGGGTTTTTGTCTGCCCCCCCCCTCGACCCCTGTGTGTCTCCATTGCGGGTCAGCGTGCATATAACAGAAATTACCCAACTGCCTGTTCCTCCCCTCCTTTTGCTTCCTGCTGCATCCTCGTGACTCTGTCTCTCTGTGTCTGTTTTCCTATTACCAACTGCTGCACTTCCTGTGTGTGTATGCGTGTGTGCCATTGTTGTCTGGGGTCCAGTTGACTTTTGTATGGCATACATGACGGCGCCTGTCTGCCATTCGCTCAGCTCCTTCCGCTTCCTCCTTTGGCTTTTTCTCTCTCATGCAGAACTAACCGCATTTCCCTGCTACATTTTCCTCGGGCACATTTAATAATGCACACAGCATTTTCCGGCATGTTCTGTCACAGATTTGTTTCCTATTAGCTGGCATTCAAAGCATATGAAGGGTTAGTATTGGGTGTAGTATTGGCCTGGCCGCAGCTGATTAATTACGTGCTCTACGCATCTCATTTGAGCTAACATTACGCAAACGCACTTGGCTACAAGATTGATGACAAGCCACCGCTGGTCCTTGGACCCTTTTGATTGATTGTCTGCCGGCTGCTGATGGTTCATCTCTCTCTGCAGTCATCGGCCACGCACGACGCCTGACCTCCATCCTTCAGCTATTCATCAAGAGAGCGCTGCCTGCTGCTTGATCATTCGCTCTCGAATGATTTTCCTTTCCTTTTAATTTAACATTTTCCGCTGTTTATTTGGCATACAAGAAAACCCCACTTGGCTTGCCAAGCACGTTGGCTTTCCCAGATATTCTCTTCGGGTTTTTGACAATTTTTGGCTGGAATTTTCCTCAACTATTTGTGACAGCCTGACGCCTGCCTGCCTGCCTCTGTTGGCAGTCTAATGCACTTAAAGCTGACAAATTTTACGCCTTAAATGATTGCTGCTGTTGTTGTTCTTGTTGCTTAGTTCCTAATTAGCATGCAAAAACTTTTTGGTCGTAGGAAATTGTGCTGGTAATGCTGGAATGTGTATGCGGGTCACGCGACGCAACGCGATGCCTCGGCATTAAATTTCAAATTAAATTGCTGTCTGCAATACGATACACACACACACGCACACACAGGACACACACACACACACACATACAATATCTGAGCGGAACATGTGTTAAAAATCAGCGTCGGCAACATTTGTCCCCATCACGCATACGTCACGTAGTCAGCCCCAGCTCCCAAAGCATCAAGAGCAACAGCAACAGCAGCAGGAAAAACTATATGACCAGCTTACTGTAGGAAGGGGAATGGTGTGGCAGGGGGGAAAGAGAATACTTGTCAATTGATTTTGCGCCGATTGGAGGCGGCTTAAAGCTTCAAGCGGCAGCTTAAAGCCGTTGTGCCACGTGCAACAGACGATGCGTTATAAAAATAAACTTCAAACATTAATTTGTGTATGTGTGGTGTATGTGGTGTTTGTGTGCTTAAGGACACAGGAGGCTCATGCATAAATCTCTTTTAACTAATCAGCCTCCAACTGGGGATAGGCTCGCTCAGCAAAATGCCCATAAAGTAAAAAGTTTAAACAGAAAAACACTCAAAGTTCATAAATTGCAGGCACAGAAACACATCCTGGAGGGATGGAGAGGATGCAGAGGATAATAACCTTATACAGGAGGCTGTCAAAATAAATATAATAAAGCGAGAAAACGTTGTCAGCATTTTTTAGCAGGAAGGGCGGCAAATGTCAAAATATTTAACAACAAGAAACATCAGCATCAGCAGGAGCATCAGCAGGAGGAGCATCAACAGGATAAGCAGCAGTAATAACAGTATGGAAATATGTCTGCTGCCAAGGTGCAAATTCAATAAAGATAAAAAGTTGGTTGGACGAAACGAAACGGAACGAGACGAGACACGACACGCTGCCGGATAACCTTATCGAGACATTGTCACGCCCCCATGCCTGGCTCCTATCATTGAACATTTGCTTACAGCTGGAATTATGAAGAAATTTGCCCTTTGTGGGCCATCAAAAACTGAAACGAAACGGTGATGGTTTTCCAGTTCAGTGACAGCTTTTCGTTTGTGTTTTTGTGTGTCCAAAAAGCCTCAACATTATGACAGTCATATATATCTTTATATATGTATATACTGCACCCACACACATAGAGAAAAGCCAAGAAACGAATGGGGAATAAGGCAGGGGACGAGAAATAAGTCGACACAAGTTTTATCTTCACGCTTGCCTGCGTCCCCGGCCAAGTCGGAAACAAAGGGCCGAACAAAAGTAAATTCCATGGCAATGAAGTGTAAAAATAACAAAAGCTACTTGCTCTCCATTGCTTCACCTGGACCACCGTTGTGAGTTCGTGTCCGTGTCCTGCAGAGTCTCCTCCTACTCTCCCGCCCCCACATAGTTGGAATTTAATTTCCCAACAATAGCTTTTAGGGCTCCACTCCACACGCCCCAGTCCCCCCCACAAGTTGACCAAAAACTTTGGTTTAAGCATTTCCTTTAAAGTCATTCGCCGCGTGTCCTGGAGGGTTGCCTTTTAACGCACATTAAGCCCGAATGTGTCCTTCTGTTTGCCAGTTTGGAGTTCCTTTGGCGGCCATTTCTTATGGCCATTTGGCTTTTCATTGACTTCTCTTTTTGAGAGCGGCGGGACCGCATTCTTTCTGGTGTTTTCAGCTGCTTTGTGCTGCTCGTCACGTGGCTTGGTCCTAGATTTTCCGGACTCCTGACTCCCTGCCTCTGGGTAACACGGCGTGGCCTTGCCGTGGGTTTTTCTTTTTTTATTATTTTAGTTCTCTAATTGGAGGGCCAGGACTGTACGTGTGCTGGTGGCACTTCAAAATGCTCGCATCCTGCGCGCTCCTGCTGCTCCGCAAAAGGCAATTAACTTGTTTTAATTAGTTTTAACGACAAGTATTTTGCACTCGAATTTGTAAGTCTCCTTGGGGCTATCAGGGATCCTGTCTGAGGGTGTTAGATTGGTTGAAATAATCCAAAGATAACTTCCAAAGAACTTGCTATTAATGCGCTGCAGAAACTTGCAAAATCGTTCATATTTTAATCATTTCATTTGATTTATTTCAGCTGCAACAAGACCACAAGCGAGACGACCAAAACCGGTTGGCAGATGCTCGGGTAACTCATTAAAAATGTTACTTAATTATGCATGAGTGAGGCTTGTCGTTGCAGCTATAAAAATGCTGAAGTTTTCTTTTTTTCTTTATTGGAGATTGGTATCTTGAGCGGCTCAATGGTCTAGGGGTATGATTCTCGCTTTGGGTGCGAGAGGCCCCGGGTTCAAATCCCGGTTGAGCCCATGGTAGCACTTTTTTGTGTGGGGTATTAAGATTTATTTTTGCTCTCTTATGTGGTAGAAAGATTCCCTTTTGCTCTCTTATGTGGTAGAAAGATTCAGAAAGATGTTGCTCTCTTCTAAGACAGAATGGTCTTGTCTGTTGTTCACTTCTATGGCTAGTTAAGCATTGCAAACATTTCCTTCAAGATGTTTGCTCACTTTAATGAACTTGAAGCCACACTCCAGGATGAACTTATGTCAATGGCAGCCACAACGAGTCAATTGTTGGCCACAGACAACTCCAAGCAAAGATGAGATATTCAATTCAATTCTGGTATATTGAGAGTCAATTTCTAATGTTGCCAGGCGTCAATTTCACTGGTTTCCAAGTGCTGCCTCACAGCTAAGCTATTTCAGCCCCACATCTAAGCCAACTGCTGCCCCACAACTAATCTATTTCAGCCTCAATACTTGTCTGATATCCCGTGTCATATTATCCCTGACTGCCACTCTCTGCCTGACAGTGACTGCTTCTCTCTGTGTGTCATGTTTGTTTGCCCCGTTGTCAAGTGTTTCATATGCTTTTCAAATATACATATATATGACGGTGGATGGAGTAGTGGCAACACTTGCTGTAACACCCATATGTATGCCACTCCTCTTTACCCGCCCCCCGTTTGGCTAACATGTCAAGACACTTGTTGTCAATGAAAGATGTTCAAGAGTCTCGCTTTCATATTTCTGTGGGGGGCACACTCGAAGACTACTTCAAAAATCAAGCAAAACGGGAAGGGAACAGCATAAGTTTGTTATATCCATGGAAAATTAATGTTTATGGCATTTTATTGGGCATACATTCATAGTACTCATAGTTTATGGCTCTATGAATCTAATCACCATCAAAAGTGCCTCAATTAACATGCCTGGACAGGCACAAGGACCCTGCACAATAAAAATAAACCCAGTAGTAAAAGCTCAAGGTCTCTCCACACATGCAAAAAGGAAGAAAAAAGTAGAAAAATATGGCAGGGAATAATTGTTTACGCATTTGAGGCTAGGCAACCGGCAACGAAACAACAAAAATACAGCGCCAGGACAACGCAAGGACCGGAAAATTGGACATGTTTTTGGGGTACTTATAGAGGAATATACATACGGCTGTGTGTGTGTGTGGCAGCAGCACGTTTAAGTGGCATACAAAGCAACAAAGGAGGAAAAACAAATTAATAAAGTTAACAAGGACCGAGGAAGCCCTCGAAACATGAAAGGATAGCCAAAAAAATAGAAAAGTGCATGTGTGGAAAATGAAGTGATAGAAAAATGGGGAAAAAGCAAAACCTACCAATCGAGAATGACCGATACGACACGTTAGCTTTGGATTCAGTTTTATCAATATTCATCTGTCACAGAGAGTGTCCTTAACCGGAACATGGCAATTCAATCAGCAACTAGACACAGAGACAACTGTCAGTGTCCGCTGGGAGGGAGGGTAAAGAGACGGCTCTGGGCCCTCGAAACATATTCGCCAAATCAAAAACTGCACTCAGCCGCAGACGCGTTTTCCTTTACCCCTCCTGCCACACACCCACAGCCTCGCCGTCAGAACTCGACTCAACTTCAATAAATTTTGATATTCGCCCCCAAAAAAAACTGAAAATTCAAATACGAGCCAAACTTTCAGCAAAAAAAAAAACTAAACAAAAACACAGAGTTGCCAGAAAAATATAAAAATAAACATGGTTTAGTGACTTGCCCTCAGAGCTGGAAAATAATTGAAAAGAGCGGAAATAAAATCACACAAAAACCCCGAAATGAATATTGAAAACAGTTGCCAAAAAGCTACAGATTTGAGTAGCAGGAAAGGAATACCCTTGTAGATAGCTGCCTAAGATGGCTTTCCCTTAAAAATACATCGTTGCTGTTGCAATTCTAATACATTTTCTAGAGAATGTCCAGTTGGAATATATGTAAAATATACCTTTAAGGCTCAAAAACAAATCCTAACTTGCATCCCAAACCTTCTGTAAAAATCAAAATACACTCCCAAAGGGTATACATAAACGTAAAACCTTGTCCAAGGAAAATGTTGTGCCAACAGCAATATGGAACTATCCAATGGAAAAGAGATTAATGGGAGCAGCCACATGAACAGCAGCAGAAGGAACAGCAGCCGGAACTAACGCCAAAACTAAATGGACAGGAGCAGTATCAGCAGCAGCAGCAGTTCCATTCGGACAAGCCTACTGGCCCTGGCGCTTGCTCGAATAAACGAAATTGCTTGTACAGCTTCTGGCCAGACACTTGGCCCTGACCTTAGGCACATTTTCACACGACCAGCAGCCAGCACACACTCATGAAAATCGGAAAAATCAGGCGGGGGACGAGCATGTGTAGCTGGACAATGACAATGGAGCTCAAAGGAAAAAAAGGAAACTAAACGCTTGGTAAATGCTCTGAAAAAAACACTTTCATCTGTGGAAACTTTCACATAAAGCAAAAAGAAAAACTTGGCCATAAATCTAGTACCCCAAAAGTGTGCAACACTTTGGTAAACCTTTTGCTGGAATCATTTCGTGGAGGCAAAAACCTACCCAAAATAGTGTAGCCCTGGGATAGAGTGTTGTGTGGTGTATAACTTCATCAACTCTCGCTCGCGCAGTGGCTCAGAAGCTCAGCAGAGGACCTCCAGGCTTTCAGACATGAAAGAAAGGCAAAAGCACATAGCACATAGTTCATGCCACATACTCGTAATACTCATAAAGAAGCGCAGAAATGTTGTTGGCAGGCGGATCTGGCACCCACAGAAAATTGCCCAAGAAAGGGGAGAACAGAGAAGAACGAACCATTATTACATTTTTCACGCCAATAAAAACAAACACAGAAAGCAAGAGGCAAAAGGAGAGAGAGAAAAGGCCAAACTGTGCCAAAACTGTGGGCCTCGGTTGATCCACTCACTGCCTTGGACATGCCTCTACAATGTTGAATGCCTTTGCCGGTATTTTCCACTTTTTTCTTTCTCCTCTTTTTTTGTCAATTTCCTTTTTTCAGGCGTCGCCAACCGGATGGGTGCTCGACTTCGATTTCGATTTGGGACACGGGCCTTTGGTCACTCACGAAAATTACTAAAATTGTATATCCGTTTCCGGTTGAAGTTGGGTCCCCGACATCCTTCCTTTTTGGCACTGCTTCTGCCACTGTTTTCTGACAGACATATCGAGTTATTTATGGGCAGACATGTGCGGCCCATGTGTCCTCGAACTGACCAAGTCTGTGCCAAGCCCCGACAATTGTGTGGAGCATAATTTATGGCACATCACGCATACGCCGCAGTGCACACACAGACTAGGCGGTGTCTCAGCGTGGGCCTACGAGGAGAAGTGAATGTAAAATAGTTGCAGCCATTATTCAGTCTGTGCAGTAGCTGGTAATGTAATCCCCTAGAAGCCAACAAGTAGAACAATTGCCCAAACAATCAACACACAAATTGTTCAGCCAGCAAATCCTTGTCCCAGCTCCAAGTGGCTGTAGGAATTGTCCCAAAAATGGTAACCAATTTCGAATGCATCAGCCAAGAGCAGGCGAAGGACAGTAAGGCAGAATGTAAGGTTTGTCCTTTCGTTAATCATTACGACAAATTGCCTGGCCCGAGGCAATAATGATTAATAATAAAGCAGGCAGCTGCAGTTTGTAATGCCGCAAAATGGCAAAAGTTTTGTATGGTCGCTTGTGGCTTTATTAAAATAAATAACTACCGTTAAGGCGGTTCCGGCTAAAGGGGGGGAAATAACGACGACAAGGTAAGGCTCGACTCGACTCGACCCTTGTTTGTTCTTTCCGCTTCCGTTATGAATAATAAACTTGGCGCGACTTGAACTTTAACGAGGCTACAGCTCCCGCTCCAGCTACAGCCACGGGTCGTGGCCCAAAGTTATAATTTGAATAATTAAAAAGTTCTCCTGATTAACCTGGCAGCTTACAAGGTCACTTAGTGGCTGGAAACTACTCTTATGTATCCCCCCGATAAGACAATAAAATAAAACAAATCAGCAGACAGTCAATGCAAACAATTGCCAGTTGGGGGGCAGAGATACGCAAGGGTCAGCTGTGTCTGTGTGCAACTTTGCAGCTTTTGTTTCGCCCATCAAGCACCCAATGCACATTGTTCTCATTTTTCACATTTTGCACATTTTGTTGTTTTGTTGTGGTATTTCTACGTGCAGTTTATGGCTAAAGTTTTTAGCTCCTGCTGCGTGCGTAAATGTCATGTGTGCTGGACGTTTGCTTCGAGGAAATTGTTGTCTGTCTCGATATTTATTGTTGTGCTCTAACGGAGCATTTTTTTCGAACCATTTGTGGACATGTATAGAGAAAAGTTTAAGCAAATAAAATAAGTATAATTAGATTAAAAGAAAGCTATGACAGCGAGTGAGCAAATCAAATAAAATTGTGAAAATTGAATAAAAGAGAGAAGCGAAACTTTTAATTGAATGAAACTCTGATCACAAATTGAATAACGAAATCTAAAAAAAATTTAAAATTATGTAACGAATGGAGGTGACAAAAGTGTGAATCAATCTAGTGTGAATCTTGTTTGGAAATTGATTTATAATTGGAGGTAGACTGAAATAAATCTGTTAATTTAGTTGCCAATCAAGAGCACAATTGAATTGTAGGCGTAGAATGCATTCTCTAAGAGAAAATACCCTTCTGGATTCTGAATATTCGTAAGAGCAAATGAAAGGCGAAGTTTTGCACGTTGCAAGCAGCTCCCCATCTCAAGTGTGGAATGGAATATCACAACAGACTCTTGAATATTGCAACTCTAAACGCAATCCCCTATAGCATACACCTTTTCACACAGATTTTACACAAGATGCGTTCAGAATGAACCAAAATATACATTTGTTTATTGAATTATTTGCTGACCCAAAGGATCATTGCCACAGTTCAATGTGTAACGCAAAATTTTCATATTGCAACCCACAAAAAGTCTCATTCATCATTTAAGATATTCATAAACA